TTGCATTTCTGCCAACAGATCCTCAAAAATGTTTTTCTTTTGAACATTTTGGAGGATCTATTGGCAGAAATAAATCTTCAACAGAAGTTAAACTTCAGGATTTAAATGCGTTTTGTACATCTGTGATCACATAGAGAGTTATAATGTGTGAAAAGTGCCAAGAAGTAAGTTTTATATCATCGCACGTATCATACGTAACAATATTATCCACATTTTCTTTGTGCATCACTTCAGTGGGTTAGCTATAAACACTTCCTCAGCCAGCAGCTTTTACACCTCATGGACTTTAACAATCAAAGAGAGCTCGGGGTCGTTTGAGGAGACTCTAATTACTTATTGTCCGCTTTAACCACAATGAGTAGTTGTGATATTTTACAAAAGCTACTCTGTAAGTGGAAGTTTAATAGCTAAAGCAATTTTTAAAATCACAGCTGCCAAAACATTTGATTTGTGGCTTATAAAAGATCCATTCACTGTCTTTATCTTTGTATCAGAAGTGATGGAAACAGTGGACAGTCACTCAAGATAAACTGCACTGACTGAATGTCCAGTGTAGCTGTGATAAAACTGTATCAGGTATCAGGATATAATCGTGCAGCTGGAGGTCAGCACCATTAAAGAGAGACTACTGAGTAAATATGAACACTGCTCCGCTGTTTGCCAATGGTATGAAGTGTTTATTCTTCAGGAGGGTGCGTTCTGCTGTTCACCGGCATTAGTCATAACTCCTGTTGCAACATTCACCAGTAATCTTTTGTTACAAGGGAGTTACTTAATGGTGTAGGAATGCATTTAAGCCCCTAATTAGGCAGCTATAAATGCTTGTTGGCTCACATGGACACGAGGAAATGTTCCATCTGAAGTGCAGAGCGTAAAATCCTTGTGTGCTTTTATTGACTGAAGGAAAACGATTACAATGCTGACTCGTTGTATTAAAGACTGACTGAACTTACCACTCGTTTTTCTCTGAAGTCTATTCCAACTGTAGTGATGAACTTGGAGTTAAACTTCCCATCGGTGTATTGGTACAGGAAGCTGGTTTTTCCCACGCCGGAGTCACCGAGGGCTAGGAATTTGATGAGGTAATCATAGTCCCCATCAGACATAGTGAGTGCTTAATTTCTGAAACACACAAACAAAACGACTCAGTCGACCAAAGATATGGTGGTATCAGTTTGTGTTCAGTGAAGTCCAGCTATCATCTAACCACTCAAACATCAGGGAGCTCCTGAAGTGCACGAAGCTCTTCATATTTAATAACCAATACGTTCGCTCTAAAACTAAATCAGCAGCAACTATTCTTCCTGTGATAAGTGTTACCTGTGACTCTCTGTGACTCTCTGTGTTATACAGCTGCACTGTTGTCCAAAAACATATTAATGAGTGACACTTGGACACATTAAACACTCCTCACTCACTGGAACACCGCGTGTGTTTTCACTGTCCCCAACAAATGCACTATTTATTCCTGTTTAAGTGATATATGCTTAAAACCACAGTGCCCAGATGTTTTAGGACAATACTGAGCCTTTTTTAACACTAACAGGTTTAACAAAACTAGACTCTAGAGTGAAAGGCTTCACTCAACAGAGGATGAAGACTTTCTCCTGTTCCTAAAACTGTAAACTATTAGAGTTTAAAAACAACATAATCCAGTCTTTAGGTAGGAGAGATAAGTCGTGTGCTTGTAAACACTGTTGTAATGTTGTTTGGGAGATCCATTTACAGTGTTTTAAAAAGCACAAACTGATTTTGTTTCACATTGGAGGAGAATTGAGGAGAGCTTTGTTTCAGGTTAGGTGTTACAGATACTGAGATCTCTGATCGAAGTCTAATCAGGCACCACAGTGACAACACCTGTTAGTGGACTAATGTCTGCGTCCTACAGGTCATTCAGACATACTTTACTGTGTTTAATAATAGGAGGTTGGAGCTGAAGTTGATGCAGACTTATTCCCTGTGTGTCATTCAATCTGTTTGCAGTATCATCTGTACATGAAGAACATCCTCACTCTGGTGCGGGTTACATGAAGAACATCGTGTCCTGCTACAAGGAGCCACGAACTGACGACGAAGATGAATTAAAGTTAAACGCTCTCTCTTGTCCTGTCGGTGTCACCACAGTACGTAGACTCGTCTGTGACCAAACATTCATTACGTCTTAAAGTAACAGAAGAACCCGGTCAGTGGACTCACAGCTGTGTCACATACAGTCACAGTGAAGGAGGAAGATACGAGGTCTTTCACACTTTTCCAACATTATGCAACACTTCCAGATGCAGATTGGTACAGCTCTTGGTATTGTGGCCTAATGTGTGTAACGAAAGAGCCGTTTCATCTTGCTGACACAGTGACAGGAAGTATTTTAAATTCCTCTCCTTCTCCAACACACACACACACACAGACACACACACACAGACAGCACACACAACACAGACACACACACACAGAACACACACACACACGACACACACACACAGACAGACACACACACAGAAACACACAGACACAGACACACAGACACAGACACACAACAGACACACACACGACACAGACACACGACACAACACACACACACAACAGACACACACAACAACGACACAGGACACAGACACACACACACACACACACACAGTTCTCGCACACGAGACACAGACAGGCAGAGCACAGACACAGGACACAGGACAACACACACACACACAGCATTACACAGACGACACACACGAACACACACACACACACGACACACCACACAAGGCACACACACAGAGACACACACACACACAGACACAACACACAGACACAGAACACAGAGAACACACAGACACACACACACACACAGCACACAGGACACAGACACACCACACACACAGACACAGACACACAGACACACACACAGACACACACACAGACACACACAGAAACACACAGAACACACACACAGACACACAGACACAGACAACACACACCACACCAGACAGACACACAGACAGACACAGACACACCACGACACTCACACAGACACACAACACAGCACAACATCAGAAAGACACACAGACACACACACACAGACACAGACACACACACACAGAAACACACAGACACACACACAGACAGTCAGACAAGCAGGAAACACACACACACACACACACACACACACACACACACAGACACAGACACACAACCAGCACAGAACAACACAGACACACACACAGACACAGAACGAAACACACCACACACAGACACACACAGAGACACACCACACACACAGCACACACACAGACACACACACAGACAACACACAGACACACACAGAAACACACAGACACACACACAGACACACAATCACAGGACACAGGACACACAGACACTACACACAGAAACACACACAGAGACACACACACACAACACACACACAGAACACACACAGACACAGACACACACACAGAGACACACACACACACAGACACACACACAGACACACACACAGACGACAACACCACACATGACACACACACACACCAGACACAAGACACACACACCACACACAGACACACACACAGACACACACACACAGACACAACACACAACAGCACACAGACAACACACAGACACACGGACAGACACACAGAAACACACAACACACACAGACACACACAGACACAGACACAGACACAGAAACACACAGACACAACACACAGACCACAGACACACACACACAGAAACACCACAGACACACACACACACATGAAACACACACAGACACACACACAGACACACACACACACACACAGACACACACACAGAAACACACACAGAAACACACAGACACGACAGTTTGGTATTTCTCTACACGATTTCTGGCTCGTTGCTCTACATGTCGGGAGTAAAGGCTTTGATTTCTATGAATGAAGGACGGTGGTTAGGAAGCACAATTATGCTTCTACACTCACACATATTACACTGCTACAGTGTACATGTATTACACTTATATTACATGTATTACACTGTATATGTTACATGTATACACTGTATATGTACATGTATTACACTGTATATGCTAACTCTATTACACTGTACATGTTACATGTATTACACTTACATGTATTACACTGTATATGTACATGCTATTACACCTGTACATGTTATTGACACTGTACATGTATACGTACATGTATATACAACTGTTACATGTTACATGTATTACACTGTATATGTACATGTATTACACTGTATATGTACGTGTATTACACTGGTATATGTACATGTTATTACACTGTATATGTATATCGTACATGCTTATTACACTGTACACTGCTACATGTATTACACTTGTACATGTATTACCACTGTATATGTACATGTATACACTGTACAGTGTATATGTACATGTTTACACTGTTACATGTCATCTTACACTGTATATGGTATTCACTGTAATGTATTATTGTACATGTATTACCACTGTACATGTATTACACGTGTATATGTACATGTATACACGTATATGTACATGTATCACACTGTATATGTACATGTATTACACTGTACAGGTTCATTACACTGTACATGTATATGTACGATTATTACAACGTATCATGTTATTACACTTTACATGTATTAACACTGTACATTATATGCTAGCATTACTTACACTGTACATGATTACACTGGCTATATGGTACATGTTATACCAGCTGTATATGTACATGTATTACACTGTACATCGTATTACACTGGTATAGTATATGTGATTACACTGTACATGTATTACATGTACAGGTGAGGTTACCACTTCGTACAATGCCTATTACAGCTGGTTCATGTACAGGTATTACACGTGTTACATGTACATGTCAGTTACACGTGGTACGGATGTACATTGTATTACACATGTATATTTTACCATGTATTTACACTGTATAGTACTATGTATTACACTTATCTATTGTACATGTATACACTGTATTGTACATGTATTACACTGTATATTATTACACTGTATATGTACATGTATTACACTGTGATATGTACATTGTGATTACACTGTTATATGTATAGTTGATTACACTGTTATATGCTACATGTAGGTTACACTGTATATGTACATGTATTACAAACTTTTGGGTATATGTACAATGATTACGGACTTGTATTATGTATGATGTATTACACTGATATATGTACATGTTTATTACACTTATATGATACAGTGGTATTACACTGTATACTGTACATGTATTACACTGTACGATGTATTACACTGTTACATGTATTCACACTTGTACATGTATTACACTGCTTATATGTACATGTAAGTATAACACTGTATATGTACATGTACATGTATTACACTGTATACCTACTGGATGAGCCGTTTTCACTTGATCAAAACATTTAAAGTGCAGATGTATCATATGACCAGTGTGTAGAAAAGCGTTCAGACATTCTTTCGCTGTAACTGCAGTGAACCTTTCATCTGGAGACGTAAGCAGCTTAAGGTCTCGTGCAAAATCAAGATCCATGATAAATGTGATGGCAGCCAGAAGCAGCGATGTGTCCATAAAGGGTGAGCTCCGACCAGCGAGCCCCAGAACCACCAAGTCCACATTCCTGCTCACGGCCTGTTTTGACTCAGATTAAAACTTATAAATAAGGTTTAATGTATAAGCTCAGCTGGGATCAGTCGACATTTCACATTTTACACATTTCGGGAACTCACACAAACTTTAAATCATTGATTATGTTTTAATTTCCTTTAGTTTTTGAGGTGATGCTTTAAGGCACAACACTAATTAAAGAAACACCCTGAAAGCGCTGAAACACAGAATATTCTGCAGTCTAAGTGCTCATCAGCTCGCCTAATTTTTTATCAATATAAATCCTGTTATATCAGATCACAACACCTTCATATTCACATAAGAGCAAGACAGCTAATTAAAACCTTAAAACCTGCAACTTCCTGCCACATTTCACCGTCATTACGCCACTTTCCTGTTAGCGTCCATTCAAAAGGCCCACTGCGTGTTTCTAAACTCTCCCCATATTGATCCATGTCTGTAAAAATGACTGTAAACATGAATGAGCCCCTCCTGTCTGTCCAATAACTGTCCTCAGAGTGAGACATTAATAACATTTACTTATGTCAGTGAAGCTCCTGTTGTCGTTGTTCGTTGTTGGCCTTATTATTGAAAACCACGACAGAAAAAGTTGAGTCAGTGTCTGATTTCTGTTTGAGTGAAAACAGGTCAGAGAAGTGACACAGTCGAGTACAAACCACACTGGAGATGTAGATTGTGTCAGCGAATTTCTGCAGACTGTTATCAAGCTAATCAGTAATCAACTCCACCGTTTGAGCCCCAATCGGAAACTAGAAAGAGCACAAAGTCACGTTACCAAGCTATGTTATGATGAAACAAAGCAGAGGTTCGTGCATCGTGTGTGTTCGGTTCACAAAGCTGTGCTAAACGCTGAAATAAAGGCCGTTTTCTCGTCATTAACACTTCCCGGCCCTATCAAAGCTGTGAAAAGGAAGCAGCCTCTGATGGCAGAGCGTGATCTTCCGTGTTAGGCAAGAAAACACAGCGAGCAGTAAAACAATCAGTAATCAATAAGTCTTCTAAAAACAGCCATGTCAGTACCTCCTCCTCCTCCTCTGGATGAACATCTCTCATCACAAACATAAAGACGCTCGTTGTTTCGCGTCAGAGCGGTGGAAAAGACTCCTTCACTGTGAATCACTGCTCTGGTCACCTTCTTAATATATTAACTTTCCCTTAATCACCTTACTAATTGTGCGCGCTAAACTCATTTGGGTTCAGAAGTAGTAACAGTGGACAGCATCACGTTCCCCACAGACAACAAACGAGGCCCTGTTGCACTGCGAGAGATTAAGGTGTCACACAATACAGTGCTCCTCTCACTGAAGAGCCTCTGCAACCAAGTGTGACCCGTCTTAACCAGAATTATTGGTGTCGATAACCACAACAGAAACTATTTTGTCTGGTATCACAACAACAGCTTTAAATATAACTGACATGTTAGTTTGTTTATTGGCCCCAAGTGACAGAAAGTATTAGTGTATCTCAGACAATATCAACGTTAAAAGACTTAATTAGAAACTGTGAATGCAATAATTCTCAGAATAATGACTAATATCTGAACACAATCTATGAGCTGATACACAGAAACAGTCCGCCACGACTGAACTGATGTAACTAATGGCAGAAAATTCATTTAACAGTTCAGTCTGACCGATAACAGATCCACCAGTAAAGATCAGTGTTGGTTTGCCCGAAGCTTCACATTCAACAACCGGTGATTAGTTTCTGGTACCAAAAAAAAAAAAAGAGGAAAGATTAGACTTGAATTTTGCTTTGTGATCAATAAGTCATAACCAAAAAAATAAGAAAGGCTTTACATAAATTAAAGAAGCTGTTGATAAACAGGGTTAACGTCTGTGTGTCTTCTTCGGAGCATTTAAAAATCAAATGGGAGCTCACATTTAATGACGTGATGTTGTTGAAGCACTAAATAACATAATTACTGTAACGACAGTAAACTTCTTCCCCAGTCTTTGTAGAGAGTCCTTCAGCTGAACTCTAGTTTTAAAGGCCTTTCAGGGGATTTTATCCTCCATAAACTAATTATTAACACACAACGTGCAGAAAGTGAAAATTATCGTGGTCTTCTTTTAAAAAAACTTTACTACCTTAGTTCATGAATGTCAGATAAAGTCCCTATCTGTACCGACACAGGACTACACCACGTTTTAGAAATCCTACTCATGATTTTGTGCTATATTTACGTTATCTGTCTTACGTTGTCGGTCTTTAACTTGTTATTTGTGCATATTGTGGCCAGCCTTCCTATATAGACACAGCTTTACAGCGTCAGCTCCACCTAAATATCTGTTCTGGCACTTTCTCCTTCAGTGGGAGTCAACCTGGCTGCTGTGTTTGCCAGGGAAGTACTACCACCAAGTACACCCGTGCAGACCAGCAAACAACAAGCAGCTTTAATCATTTGTCAGGGAGCAGTGGGAGACCCACCCTGGGCAGCTGTCCAACACAGAGGCCCGGCCAGCTCCTTAAGGACAATCCGGATACACACAGACCGTAAACCTGAAAGGGTGCAACACAAAGCCTGACACTGCAATAAAGTGCACCATGCATCTTTAAAAACTTTCTGGCAGCACAAGCTGGTATCTAATCTTTAAAATACCTCAGAGAGCAGGATTTATTATCAGCAGCAGCAGCAGCAGGCAGTGTGAGGCACACAGAACTGATTCCCACAAACAAATAAACACTCAGATCGATTAACTGTAACAAATAGACAACCTAATGACCCTCAGGTGGTCTCTGGTGGTCAGGCGGCCGCAAAACCAAGAAATACTCACTTTACTGTCCTTTATTTGGACCCTGCCAACAAGTCTCTGGATGCCAACTACCCAGCTTCCTCTGTCAGACATATTGCAGCATACATATGGGTCCAAACGCTGCGGGAAATGTTATTAAGTTGAGTACCGGCGTTGTTTTAAAGCGGTGTTAGTCTGTACCAGTTACTGGGGCGAGTGTGAGAGGCTAACGAGGTCCAACCGTGAGAAGAGGACCGGGCAGGTGTACTAATGTTTCCCAGCTGGATTTACTTTGAAGAGCTGTTACTAACACACACAGTCGACTGAATTAAAAGTTAAAAGACACCCGTTTTATTTAAAATCTCTCGCTTTAACTCTCCGGACAGATGCTGCGGACTGATATTTCCTGGAAACTCATTTTAAGTACAGTAACTTACCCCCGGGGCGTTGCTGCTGCTGCTGCTGCTGCGCACCGCGTCGTCTAACAGTTACAGTTGGGTGTTTCAGTTGGAAGCGACCGTTGGAGACTTTCTCCCAAACGTGGATAAAATGAAGACTTTACTTTCTCCGTCGCCTCTGAGCCATTAGCTGACAGTGAGACCAGCTTCATTAAGACTGAGCAGCGGCGTTACTTTCCGTGGTTGTCGTTGGCTGTAGAGAAACAGCTCCTCCTCACGGAGCCAGCGACCGTTACACGACTCACAGCCAGCGACCGTTACAGCCAGCGACCGTTACAGCCAGCGGCCAGCAGAGGGCGCCATGGTTACCGCTGTACACTGACACAGGGGGAGACTCTTTATTCAGGCCTTTGGGGAGTAACGGATTACATGTAACGAAGGGACAAAAACAGTTAGTTACATTTGTTAATAAAGATGGTTGTAGCTTTCGTTGCCTTACTTGGTAGACCTCCGATGCTCCTAACTTGTAATAAAGTTATGCCAACATCTCCATGGGTGGAGGAGGCAATGAACAGTGTAACGTTACACTGTATGGAAGCGTTACTCCATTTACTGCCCAGCAATAATTCATTAATCCTCTTTCCTCTCCTTTTTTAATTTTTTTTGTCTTTCTTTTTCTTTTGCTCCTTTCTGTATTCCTCGCCCAGTATGTACTTGCCTCTTTTTATCTTCTTTTCCTCTTTCTATTTCTCGGCTAATACATTACTTCGCCTTGTTCTTCCTCAACACTTCCATATACACACACCTACACACAGACACACACACACACACACACATATACACACACCTAATTATTATGAAATGGGCCGTTCTACATGATGAGTGCTTTTACTTTTAGTACTTTTTCACAAACAGCAAAGATCCAATAGTGAGAACAAACTGTGTATCAGAACTTTTACTTATTTCCATCTCACAGCTCAGCAGATTCATGTTGTAAGTCCACACTGATTTATAAGACTCCAAAACTGTTGCACATATATATAACTTAAGGCTATTTTACAAAAAAAAGCTTATCCCTGAAATCCTCATATAAATTCTTCATCTTCAATCTCTCAGTCTTTTCTCTTCAGTGAGACCATTACATTTGTTTGTATTGGTACCTGAACTAAAACAGTGTAGACGTTATATTTGTATTCACTTTTACTTGGTAGGATGTTGAATAATAATAATACTTTCACCTCCGATGGATTTATGTTGTAATAAAAACTAATATTGTACAACTTTACAATTCACAGATGTATTTCATGTTGTAGAAGAAAATGTGAACTAGTCAGACTTAATTTTCTGTACAAAAATCAGTGAATGAAAGGAGCCTGTGACTGAAACACTAATACGTTTTGGCACATGTACACAGATATGGTAATGTATAACAAACATCAGTCTCTAGGGGCCACTAGAGGAGTTTGACTCATGTTTGATGACATATTTAGACTCAGAGCAATCTTAATTAAGACAACATTTATCTATTTATTCGATAAATGACAGTTTACAAACAGCATTAAGTGCAGGATTAAGGCATAACGACAAAATATGAGGTTTGACACATCATTTTGAAACAGATAATATCAGGAGGTCAAATTATTAAATATTTTATTTCTGTACATGAGCAATCATGAGACGAACACAAAGAAGCATGAATGTATCCATGCTGGCCTTGTCTTTGGTTCTACCTCCAGCTCTGACAGCTCTGATGTAGGTCTTCGGTCTTCTGTCTTCTGTCTGTGAAGTATTCCTCGGAGTGATGAATTGTTATGACGAATTGTCTGTTTCATTCTGTTTCTTTGGCACATTCTGCTGTCCTGAGGTCTTCAGCACCGGATCAAAATAAGGTCTGTAGATATAAATACCACCAACGACTCCGAGCAGTGTGACGAAGGCGATCTGTGAGAAGGGTATTCTTCTTTGAAACATGATTTCTTAATAAGAAATCCCAACGATGAGACACAAGATGATCCTGAAACAAGAGGAAAGTGATGTTAGACACAAGACACTGAATTATAATCCAAGTGTCTTTTTTTATCGTTTTCCATCTCCTGTTGAATGTTACATGTTCTTGCAAGATTTTAGGCATAACTTGTTGCACGGATGCTGAAAACTAACTGCTGTGTTGCTGGCTGTACTCCACCAAAGCTACTGTTTTAATATATATATAAATAAATCCGTGACCAGCCACAGGATCCTAATTCCAGTCAGAGGTTACCTTCAACCCTAAAGTCTGGTGCCTTTTTACAGGACCAGGTCCATCTAAAGAGTGACCCTGCAGCCCTGCACACAGCTAAACACACATACACATAGTTTTATTACTGCCAGAATTAATTCCAACACCTTCCATACCCTCCTCAACAACTAGAGTTGAAGGTAGATTTCCATACATTACCACTCTCAGAGAAACTGATGCTTGTTTTCATAAAAAAACAAAAACCAAATCCCCATTGAATAAAGTCCAAGACTCATATCACTAAACTCCAAGGAGGACTGAAGCTGAGGCTGAAAACTGAACAGTGACCCTTCTGCTATCTGCTTTATTAAGAGTCCACTCGTGTGTAAATCCTATAGGGAAGACATGACATTGGACGATCTTTATGTATTTGATGCATTTGGAACAAGGTTAAGCAAAATTAGATGAGGTTTACTCGTCTATTTACACGCTATGGCTTTTGATTGGTCCAGTATTCCTAGTTTTAGAAAAAGAAAAGTTGGGATAGGTTCCAATGATAAAGTGGATTTTGCCACTTAAGAATGGATACTTTAATCAAATCGATTCATATCGAGTCGACTCAATCAGTGGTTAAACTTTCAAATAGAATTTCAGGCTAACACTGCCCAAAAAGATGTTGTATTTTTATTTTGACCATTCAGAAACAGACTGTGGAATGAAAATTCTTGTGGTCTTCTATCCCTGACTTAAACCCCTATTTCCACTGAGAATTAAATCATTTTAATGCGTCTTATTTTGAAAAATACAGACCGGATGTAAAGACTAGCTTGAGTTTCTTTACCGTTCAGCTGAATTAAAATGACAGTTTCGCTGAATTAGACAAGATTTTCTGTAACATCAACAACTCACCGAGGAAGCGGTTTAATCCAAGAGTCTGCAGTCACCAAACACAGACGGACAGACGGACACAGAGGTAGAAACCAGAGATATTAACGTTAGTGCAAGGACTCCGAGGACACTTGTGTGCAGCAGGCAGGCATTCTTCTTCTACTCTCTATTGAGGCAGGAAGAGCTCCAGTTCGCCCCCAGCGGAGTGAGACAGTAACACACACAGGAAAGATTTATAATAATAATAATAACAATAATATCAGTGATATTAGCAATGGTAGTCAAGCAGGACCATGGCAGGAGGC